TTTAGAGTGAATTGATTTTAAAAAAATATATTAATATAAACATTTTGTTTTCATTTTGAATACATACGTTTTCCTTTCTTTTCTTTTGTACTTATTTTCTAGAATGAGACCTATAGAATTTTTGCCGTCATATAAAAACTATTAGAAGCTGATGTTATAATAGTGTAATGCAATATTTGCCATGACTAATGAAAACACGTGACTGAATCTCTCGTACAAAACAGTACTCTTTATTCCACACTATACTTCGCGAATTAGCGCTTGCCAGTGGATAAGTGTGGATCCTAGGCCTTCATCCGAATGTGGACATTACTTTCTCGTTTACGATACCTGAGTGGGACTCCAGATTTCTCTAGGGTGGGTGCTTATGTATATACCTGTAATACTGTTCTTTTCCACGCTTGCATCCTTGGCGCAGTTGGGTCGATCATGCCGATCTGCACTCGGCAGTCAGGAGATCATCCCCTATATGAACCCGTCGATGCAACTGTTTTCTCTGACCTCACATCGAGGTCAAAGTATATTCTAGCATGATTTGGAGTGATACACATACGACAATAAATTGAGGGTAAGAGAAAAAATAGTCTATTTAAGTTTTCAGTTTCATCTGAATCCCTCAGACACTTCTATAGTTTCGAGGATGCAGTGTTTACATTTATTTTATTGTATTTTTGTTTTTTTTTGGGGGGGTTACACTTTCTTTTTATTAAATTTGCTATCTGCTTAGCATTTTATTGTAACTAAGCAAGTCCACTCAACAGCGGTGATAATGCTAAACTATTTGTTTCCAAAGAAACTATCAATAGAATTTCAATTGATTACCACGTGAAAAGCTCTTTTCTCCAAGTGTGGAACTATTCCTCAATATAAAAAGCGATTTATCGTAGCTCCAGAAATTCTATCCTTAAATCACTACCCATTCAATCAATGGCCAGACTGAATATTGCTTAACTCTGAAACTCGTAGTTCCTGTTGAAAAATATTTTTGTTATTCTTTGAAAATATTTAATAGAAATCATCTAGTGTTATGCGACAACGAAAAACTAAAACTACTGTGAAACAAATCCAATTTATTAAATTCACGTTGCCCTAAAGAAAATGTCGGTGAATCGATTGTAAATGTGTTGTGCGCCAATCCTGGAAATAATAGGATAAGACAAGGCAATTAGAATTGATCGAATTCTTCAGTTTTACAGAATAGCCTATGATAGAACAAACTTGTTACCAATTTGTTCTTTATTCAGGTTAGAAGTTTGAAAATGTTCAATTTCAAATTGAATTTAAATCTGATACGAATTTTTATAGACTTTAATTTATTTTCTTTTGTCTTAGCAGGAGCTTGCAGTTATAGCTAAAGGGTTTAGCAAACAACTGAATACCGAGGTATCCTTGATCTATATACGTAATTCCGGGATGGTGAGGATTTTTGTCACACAACTAATTATAACATAAATAGCCTAGGATAATTTTTTTTTCCCAGACACAGTTTAATCTCATTTTGGAGACCTCCGTTATTTCGTACAAGGAATGCCTATATGCAGTTTGCTTCGTTGTACATTCTTTGAAAATCCTACCAAAATAGCCATAAAAATAATAATAAGGATTTAGAATTGAAGCGTATATATGCGGATGACACAGCGTTGATAGAAGACACGGAAAGGAAACTACAAAAGCTCTTACAGAATGTAGCTAAGGAAATTCGAGAAGAAAGAATTAAGCATAAATTACAAGAAGACGGGATGTATGGTTATCGGCAAACGAATGGCTCCAAAATGCAAATTACAAATCAGGAATGCTAAAATCAAACAAGTACCAAAATTTAAATATCTGGGAAGTATTGTAACAGACGACGGAAAGTGCGACACACATCCGAAGACGGGATAACCAAAGATGCATTCCAAAATTTCTTTAGAAACAAAGAAAAGAATACTGGATTCTTACGTGATATTTGCCGTCCAGTATGGCAGCAAATGTTGGCCAATCTCCTCACAGATGAAGAAGAGACATGAAGCAACATAAATATGGTTCTACAGAAAGATGCTGAGAATACTATTGGTCGAACATGTGTGCAACAACGAAGTTTTGGAGAAAATGGAAACAAAAAGGAAACTTATACTTAACATCAGGAAGAGGCAGTTGAAATTTCTGGGGCAAATGATGAGGAAGGAGGGCTTGGAAAATCTGATACTCATAGGACAGATTGAGCGACAGAGGAAAGCAGCGCGTACTTGATGAGCTTAGTAAGTGGATGGTAGAACAGGGTTTGGGAGAAATAACAAAAAGGCAAAACATTAAGAAGCTACAAGGGATAGGAAGATGTGGAGGGCCATGATCGCCTACGCCCTGAAGGGACACGGCACACAAAAGAAGAAAGAATATTGACGCGGGGTAAGAATTTTTGTTTGAATGTGTATGAATAAAAATACAAATAACAGCAAAAATTACTACGTGTTAATAATGTCGTAAACAGTTTGTTTTGTTTTTTTAAACTGGTAGGTGATTCATTATTTTTTACGGTTTATCAACCTTTTGTGGGTTATTTTAAAGCCGAAACCTGTTTCGGATTGTAATAATAATTCTTTTTTACGACTGAATTAACAATTTTTTATTTTTCAGATAGAACTCTCATAGTTGTTTATATTTCTGATATGATAATGTTGTAACTATTTGCACTATTTAAATCGTTCGGACTGTTGTGCTCATCTTTATTGCCATATTCACGTCGTTTCGGCCATAGTACGCTCCGACCTTCTTCAGTTGATATACAGCTACACACATGGATAAAGTCATTGGTTGAGTAATCCAAAAAGTGAGTTAAGCCAGAAGGAACAAAAAAATGAAGAGTTGAGTTACTAAAGGGAATTAACTGATACTGAGAAATCAAAAAAATGCATGGCACGTGGAATTAGAACAATCAACCCCAGAGGTTCGGTTCGAAATTCGAACGTATATCAGCTGAAGAAGGTCGGAGCGTACAACGGCCGAAAGTTTCTGAATATGGCAATAAAGATGAAGACCACATTCCGGAAGATGTAAATAGTGCAAATAATAACGCCCGCTATTTAACTCATAGATAGGAGGAGGAGGGGAATTCATACTTTTTCCATTTGCATGTAAGCGAATATAACGAAGCCGACTGGAATTCGAACTCGGTAGTCCGAGTTCTCTTTGCAAGCCACTATCCATTACATAACCCGCACAACCAAATTTGGCAGTATTTTGTTTTAACTGATCATGGGCCCTCACAGCAACTGTGATCATTTGGAACATTAAACTATGGTGCATCGATTTCTTTTCCGATAAATAAATAAAAGAAACATTTATTAGATTGAAAAAAGATATTCTATCAATATAATCAGTGAATTTAATCAATTAATTCTTTACAATTCCTTCTCATTATTGATTTTAATATAAAAAAATGGTGCGTTGTCATTTGAACTTATTAGTCTTCAGTACTGTTTTAGGTGTGGTAAAATTATTTAATCCTTTCGGACTTGGTGTTTATAGCTAATTTAAGTTTAATTGGGTTCATAATTACAAGAATTTTTCTTGTAACTTTCATAAACATTTAAATTCTGAGACTTACCCATTTAGCGAAACGTTATTATTGGCTATTTTTTTTTTTTAATATATATCACTATTTCAGAACCGCCTGTCACATCACAAGGCCCGTAACCTATTAGGGCAGTAAGGACACGACTTTTACTGTAGCCATAGAAACAATGGCGTGTTTAGGGCAAGATAGTCTGAGAGCGCCTGCTCCCCTTCAGGCAGTTTTCTTAATTTAGTTTTTCTTCTCTTAGACAGGTTGCTAACTCAAGGCAAGAGAGCCCAGTCTGTTCTGTCATTTAGCCCCTAGGTGGGTTCATACCTTTTCCAGTGGCATTAGCCAGAAGTGATCAAAACTGAATTGACTGGAATTTGAAATCCACTTCCTGTAGTGCTTGTGTAACAGAACAAACCAGCAATGAAAAGAAGCAAATGGGTCGATCAAAGTTGCTCAATATGAACAGCCTTATTCTTCTTACACCTCTTTTCTAAAGTAGAATAATTTAAATATTTGGAAAATGTTTTAACAGACAATAGAGAGTACGACACTGAAATCCGAAGGCGCAATGAGATAGGTGTTGAAACTTGACTAATGCATGGAATAATAATGCAACACAAAATGTACTTAGAACAAAATGTATTGAAACAAGAAAGTGTACACAATATTTACATATAGTCTTTTGTATATTCCTGGTAAGACCGTTCCTGGAGAATGTGTTGACTGAGTCGCAGTCGGGCAGAGTCTCTGGTTGAATCTCTTGATTCCTCCCTCTCTTCCCGGCACCAACCATATTTATATGGTCGGTACTCCACTATGCAAATTAGGTGGATCCTACCACAACAATAGGGAAAGATGCCTTCCCAAAGCTAAGCAAATTATTAAGAAACAGGATAGATTAGTTAGAAACAAAGAAAATTGTACTGAACTGTTACGTAATATCAGTCTTCCTTTCTAGCAATGAATGCTGGACAATCTCCTCACAGATGAAGAAGAGACTTGAAGCAACAGAAATGTGGTTCTACAGAAGGACGCTGAGAATACCATCGACCGAACATGTGAACAACGACGAAGTTTTATAAAAAATGAAAACAAAAAAGACATCGAAACTTATCATCAGGAAAAGACACAGAACGGTTACTCAGAAGATAATTCATCTGTTTCACAAGTAAATAATCATCAAATTTATAAGCTTGGCTATTAGTTACAATGTGAAAGCCTTATCTGTTTTCCCCTAAATTCACCACCGTTTCAAATCTTTTTCTTCTGAGAAATAAATCTGCACTTCAAAAAGGCAAACGGTATTCTTTTTCATAGCCGGGGAAGATGGATTCATGCCTTTGGCAACAGCATCAGCGCGAAGAGGATAAAATAGAATCGAAAGGCAACTTGGTGATTTGACTTTTCATCCCAGTAACCATTAAAATAACCGAACATACATTTATCTATCAAGCTCTTTCTCTCTCTCTCTCACTCTCTCTCTCTCTCTTTCTTTCACTCTGTCTTTCCCCACTCTCTTTCTCATGCTCATCCCTTTATCCATCAATCTTCTCTTTTTATTATACTTTTTCTTTCTCTCTTTTTCTCTCTCTTTTTGTTTCTTTCTTTCTCTCAGTGTCTTCTTCACTCTCTCTCACTCTCTATTTTCTCTCTTAATCTCTCTCTTTCTCTCCTTACTTTTTCACTCTCCCTCTCTCATACATACACACACACTCTCTCACAGACACACACACACTCACTCTCTCTATATCTATCTATCTCTCTATCTCTCTCTCTCTCTCTCTCTCTCTCTCTCATACCATGGCGCTCTTGAGCCTACAAGAGCCACCTTGCTTTTCAAACCCTTATGGTCTTTGCAGAGCTTTCGGAACATCCTCCATCCTGGATATGCTGGCAGACGACGCCCTTATGCTATGTGGTCTGCCGCAAAGACTTCCCCGATCTGTAGTTGGTGGCTCGAACTTATAGATGAATCTGGTCGGGTAATTATTAGGTCGTCTCAATAATAATCCTATTTATTTCCAATCCAAATGTTTTCTCCCACACCCAGTAAGAGAACAAGAATTGATCTTAATAGACACCGTCTAGAACTATTACCATTGCACCATTCGTTGGATCGCAGAATCTTTTTCGGAAGAGCCAATGAATTTATTTTTAATCCGACATTTTTACTCCCTCAAACTTATTTTTAGTGGATACCTGTGTTTGAAATAGACCCCCTTTTTTGTATTTTGTTTTAAATATGAAATACGTCTATTGACCTGTGGGCTTGAGAAAGGAGAGAATATTTTCCTTATTGAGTTTTCTTGGGTGCGCAGGACTGTAGACGTAATACACACTGTTTGAAATTTAAAAAAAAAAACGGATCATCTATTTCAGATACGGACATCCACTAAAAATAGAGATAATAGAAATCACATAACCAGCGGTATAAATTAAAAATAAAACTTGTCGTTTAACACATGGTATAAATCACCTTAAGACCCTTTTATTAAATAGCAGTTAAACAAGTTAATCTGAATTTAATGAGTACTATCCCCATTGGTTGATCCCCACTCATGTCCCTGTGCCAGCCTTAACTAAGCTTGGTAAATATATATACAACATCGTAAAAAGAGAGAAAATAGATGAGTGTTGAGAGGTAAGAAATAAAGAAAAAATACCAATAACCGTTCGAATGATTGAAATACAAATCAAGAATATTCTTATATTTAGCATTATTCTCGGTATTTCTGGTTCGTCAAAGACATATTTTTTATCTTACAAAGGTGATAGAGTTCAGTTGCATTGTTTTAAAGGCTAGAATCGATTGGATAGAATTGATCTATTTGCACTGACTGGAAATAAGAATGTTTTAAACATCCGATGTGGGACTTGATATGGAATCATTTTTCTTTGTTTACTCCTAGCGTGTAATCTGCGTTGAGTCGTCTCCTACTCGCCGGTAATGATGGCGACTGAACTGTGTGGGCTAAAACAAATGGCAACTGTCGAAATATCCTTGTTAGTAAAGATATACATGAATAATTGAAGGTTATTAGTTTTTCTGCGTTTATGGTCCGATTATCAAGAGAAACTAATTTTGTTATGTGTTGTTGTCGTCGTTGTGAGACGAAGCAAGGAGTGCTTGTTTCCATTGGCTGTTTTGATTCTCATGAAATTTAGCCAGTCCTCGGGTTGGTTATATAATATCATTTTGTTCTTGATCACACCTGGATAAAGGTTGTGAGCCTAATGTACAAGAACGGGAGTAGCTCTTCCTTGCCATTCGCTATATTTAAACAAAGAAAGAGACTCTTTGGATTGTCAATGTACAGATGATGTATTTGAAAAACTTTAGTATATATATATATATATATATATATATATATATATATATATATATATTTATATAATACAAATGTTTTTGAAAACTTTAGTATACATATATATATATATATATATATATATATATATATACTAAAGTTTTTCAAATACATCATCATCAGGCGGCCTGACGATTCCGTCTAGCATGAAACAGCCCATCGCCTCTAAGTGTTGACTTTAATGTTCACTTTTAGAAATAAATACGCTTAAATTCACCTTCATCCCTGCCGTACGCCAACAACTTAGTGGTAGAATCCCCCGACTGATGCCAATTCAGTCGGGTTTCGATCCTAGCTAAAGGTAACTGGACGTCTAGCCACACTGATGAGCTGTGATACATCGAAACAGTCTGTCTGTGGATGACAATATATATATATATATGGTAATTTGTATGGAATTTCCAGGGAGAGCTCTAAGTCAAAAGACACGGCAAAATTATTATTAATTAATTAAAGAATATCAAACTCTTAAAATCCCATAGGTAATAAATTTTATTTCATGAGAGCTTGAAAAAAGCAGCTCTCAATTTTCAAGAGCTACAAGCAAATCGCAAATGAAATAGAAAAAAATATTCAGGGTTAAAATCAAGTCAGTATATCAAAAATAGGTCAACACTGTTTGTCTTTTCCCACTCTCTAAATAAAAAAGCAATATCTCTTGTTTTTAACCTTTATCGTTGGAAGGTTATGACAGTTTTGGAAAACACGTGCCAGAATCATGCATTGGAAAGTGGGAAGAGAGTTCAATTGTAGAGTGGGGAAACTAAAGTTACTCAACGGAAACGTAATTACAATGTGGTTCTACATCTTAGAGCAACAGGTAGAAAAAGATTGAAAGAAGAAATTTTTGCCTTTTACGGTGTTTGACGAACGCAATTGGTGTAATCTTATTTCCAGTTCCTTTACTTAGCATAACTATACGCGGAATCGTAATCATCACAGCCAGCATCTTTTACAAAATCTTCTCTAACTGACTGTAGTCATTTTTTTTTTTTTTTTTTTTACTATCGTCTGCTTTCTTACAATTCTTAACCGCTAAAAAATATTTTGCAAAACAACCAATCAGCAACAAAAACAAATCTTGTTTTACAAAACCACCAATATTTTTTTTTCTAAAATAGATCAATTAAACACGTCTCTCATTATTTTGGTTTTTAAAAAATAGCATTTATAATAACAAAAAAAAAAAAAATATTTTAAAATCCAAGGGAGATAATTTTTGTTTACAAAAAATGTTTTTCTTTTTAATTATTGAATGTCACACCATGACAGACAGTTTATTCATTTATAGTAACGATTTTAATCAGGCAGAAGTGAAATTGAATCTGATACATAGCAGCTCTCTACTATCCAAGTTAATACTTGTATTAAATAGTACATCTTTATATTTGTTGATAATGTCGCTATTCATCATATATATATATATATATATATATATATATATATATATATATATATATTGACTTTCTCTAACAAATGTTTGGTGAATTTGTCATGAAATGTCAGCCTGGACGTAAATAAACTGAATGTAATGGCCATTAAACGATGCTCTCACACATAAATACAACAGGGTGTGGTCAGTAACCTACCTTAAATGTAAAAAGGCAAACAGCAAATATGCATCTCGAACTGCTCCAGTCACTTTAGGTTTCATGTCATATTCAAAACGTAACTGCCTAACAGTTAAAAACAAATGTAAAGAAGTTATCATGCTTGGATGCGACTGGACATATTCCATGTACGTATAAGGATAGATAGATAGATAGATAGATAGATAGATAGATAGATATGACTCTGACTAGCGCTTCTCCATTCGTCAAATTTTAGCGAAAATAACAGATCAAATTTCAAGTTATGGGCATACTGATGCACCTTAGTATATATATATATATATATATATATATGTGTGTGTGTGTGTGTGTGTGTGTGTGTGTGTGTGTGTGTGTGTGTGTGTGTGTGTGTGTATATATGCAAAGCGGACTGTTATCGACACAATCCACTCCCCCAAATATGACCAACCATCAGAATTTGGGGTAGGAATCTTTTCAGTACCCACCGAAAGGAATGCTTTCAATTTTATTCTGTTGGTCGACAGCATCAGAGGTTGATGTTGGTGGTAAGGCAGTGAAATTGAATTTTCCAACAAATAACCCATCATTTTTGCATTGTTACATGAAAACGGAGTTTAGATATTAAAATGCATACGAAGCACAGATATTTCATTGAATTTGTTCGTACATTGAATTTTGTAAACACTTACTGAATGCTTGCGGAAATCAAACAGTGAATGTGAACACAGTTAGGTGGTGAGTAATGCGTTTCACCTTCGACGATAGCGATCTGTGTAAAAAAAGCTACATTCCGAACGGCCTTGAACATTTGTCAATCCTGTATTTATTGTAGTTTCCGTAGAAACAAGCAGAGTGCATTACTTTATATTCTTTTTGAATCTCCTTTTAGTCTGGCCAAGAACATTCAGCTCCCCAACGTCGCATATATATATATATATATATATATATATATATATAATAATAATAATAATAATCAACCGAAATTTTAGGAACCTAATTTTAGGTTCCTAAAATTTCGCTTGAAGATGAAATGGGACTAAACACCTCAATTCAACTTAATTTTAATAATTATTTGGATGGTTTTGGCCCTCGTTTTTGAAACATGAGAACTCTTATGTAGCGAAGGAATCATATTTTTAAACATAATATTATAATAAAGCTCTACTTCTGTATGGAGCACTGTCTTCTTAAAAATAACAAAAATACTAAGGAACTCCAGATTATGCACCCAACGTGTTCTTTTCTATTTTCTGCATACCTGCGCACTTATATATATATATATATATATATATATATATATATATATATATATATATATATATATATATATATAAAAACATATAATATTAAATATAACAGACAATGAATGTCTATTGTGTCGGATCACGAGCCGTTCTAATGTTTGAATGTTTGCTTTAATTTCTGGTGAAAAAAAAAAGACAAAAATTGTCCAACATTTGAATATTTTTTTTCTTAAGTTGCTCCTAAGCGTTCGGCTCACATGAGCCATCCTCAGAGTGGTTATACAGCCATGAAACAAAGATATCCACCATTTGTTATTTTGACATAGAAAATTGCCCGTAACCGGTAAATTGCTCGAAATCAATTGTTCGAAGAATAATTTCTAGAACTATCAATTACTCGAAAAGCAGTTCGAAAAGCTCGAAACCTGTGGTTTAAAAAAACTACATTGTTTCTAATATTATTTACTATAAGATAAAATAATACAACTTTAGTGTCGTTAACTGAACTGTTAAAGTTAAAGAACGAGTACATTTATATAGCAGGTCTTTTTTTTTCTTGAAAGGCAGTTTACTCGAAATCTTTGGTTAAAAAATAAAACACGTGCTAAGTATTTCCTTTTTATGCACATTTCA